GTTCACCAAAAATGCTAAACAATTGTCATATCATTACTAAATCTAATGATTATTTACACTGTTTTTGGCCTAAATGTCAATACAAGACCAAAAATAGCGGTTATTTAACTTCACATCAATTAATTCATTCAGAAATAAAACCATTTAAATGTAATTTTAAAAATTGTAATAAATATTATAAAACTAATTCCAAATTGAATCAACACAAAAATATTATTCATTTAAATGTGACATTTATTTGTGATTTCAATGAATGCCACAAAAGTTTTACATCAAAACAGAATTTATTTCAACACAAAAGTTCCATTCATTTACACGATCCAAAGTATCGCTGTTTTTGGCCTAAATGTCATTTCAAAACCCAAACTAAACATCAATTGATTTCACACCAATCAAAACATTCAAAAATAAAACAATTTAAATGTGATGTTAATAATTGTAATAAAAGTTATTCTCGTGAAGGAGCTCTCAAAAACCATAAAAACTCTGTTCATTTAAATATAAAATTTATTTGTGATTTCAATGAATGCCACAAAAGTTTTACACAAAAATCCTATTTATTTCGACACAAAAGTTGTGTTCATTTAAATGAAAGGAAATTCAAATGTGATGAAGAAAATTGTGGCAAAATATTTGGATTGCATTCAAACCTCATTCGCCACAAACGCTTGCATTCGGGCGAAAAACCATTTATTTGTAATTTTAATGATTGTAACAAATGTTTTTCTTTACAGAGAAATCTCAATAGACATATGAAAGTTCATATAAAAATATAACAACTTTAATTTTAATCAAGCTATTTATTAATAATATTAAATGTAATGACAAACAATCAAATTATTTGTAACAAAAGCATTAATTGTAATTTGTTTAATTATTGTAATTAATAAATAAAACATGATTATAAATCATGATTAAAATAATAAATATACAATGTGTTTACAATTTATTATCATTTGTATTAAAATTTTAAGATATTTAATAAATTTTTAAAAAATCGATTGAAAATATTGTGTCCAAAACTAATTGCATTCTCTCTTAAAGGGATCGACAAATGTTTTGCTGAAGTCGTATGGATTCATGTCCTTAACCCGAGAGATCTTATAGTCTTCCGCTTTGTTCACCAGTTTTGGCCACTTTTTATCACTCGTCGGAACCCTTTATACCACAAATCAAAACAAATTANTCCGCTTTGTTCACCAGTTTTGGCCACTTTTTATCACTCGTCGGAACCCTTTATACCACAAATCAAAACAAATCATTAAAGTCTATAACAAAACAAACTACTGATCGCATGACTCGAGTCAACAATAAATACCCAGTTTTTGCAAAATTAGTCCATAAAGTGATCCACTCTTTACTGAAAGGTATGTCGAGCTTAGGGTTAGCGCCGGTCCTGAAGAACACGAACTCGAGGTCGGATTCACTTCAAAAATACAGTTCAAAACATCATTTAATTTCTCATAAAACTCATGCATTTGTGAGTACAAAGGAGGATGTCCAAATCAGCCCCCGCTGGCAATCGGGATTTGACCATATAACATGAATGTACATGGAATAAGGAGTCCCCTGATATAGTCCATATAGCTGAGCCACCTCGGGTTCGGCCGCAGTGACCACTTTTATCTGGAAATTTCAACTTATCTAATACTAATATGTGATATATGAAATCGATGTAGAATTGAATGAAGAACTAGTATATCGCAATATCACATCGATTGTGTCAGTAGATTTTATGTTATTTACTTAAAACGGTTAAATTTTAGATAAAATTAGTAAAATAACTTATTATTCCTCAACTCCTACTATTTACGCCAACACCACACACATTACCCGGCCACCGTCAGCACTCTTGACCCAATAGTCACTACCACTAATCGCGGTCTAAAAATAAATTGAAATTACATAAAATCTATGCACTCTATCGAGATGTTATTACGATATTCTACTTCTGCGTTAAATTCTACATTGATTTCATATGTAATATGTCAGTATTTGATAAGTTAAAATTCTTGCTAAAAGTGGTCACTGCGGCTGAACCCGATGTCGGATGATCATATGGAGAAGAGCAATTTATTTCTAATTTGACGTAGTTTAATATCATACAACAAATTGCTCTTAATTTGTAAAAAAATTCTAAAAACCAACTAACCTATATCCCCATTACAGATTTTATCAATCCCCATTACAGATATGCACATCCTCCTTTGTTTGTAAGTTTATTGATTTAATAATTTAATAAATATTAAGTAGTAATCAAAAGCATTTTCTCTTTTGATCAAAGTTTTGTCACATTTCTTGAAACAGACATTTGTTAATGAATATGAAAATTAGTAAAAACATTATTATAAGTCATTGAATCAATTGGCCACAATTCTAATTATAATAATAATTAAAGAAATAAAAATAATCTCGACTTATGTTATGACAAGTTATAAGAAAATCAAATCAAAAAACGAATAAAATAATAGTTTCAAACAATTTCTGCATCAATTCAAAATCTAAGTGTAAATCATTGTCTTATTTTCCATGTGAGCCAACACTGGCCGTGGATTCGCTGTCATCCCAGTCTTCGGCCAATTGTCTGATGCCTTCGAGTGCTGTCAACGCCCTCTCATTCTCTTCGGCCAATCGTGTCATCTCTTTGGCCGCTTTGATCCGTACGGCCATCGCTTGATTGATCTCTTTGAGCGCCTCATCCCTCTGGCGCTTACATCTGGTCAGCTGTTCCTTCAGATCAATGATCTCTTGGAGAGCTTGTCTGAAGGCTTGAGTGCACTGTTGTTTGAGTCCATTCCTCTCAATGATGGCAAAGTTGCGCTCTTGAGTGCTCTCTTCAAAGCACTTCCGGTATCTGCGACTCTCCT